CCCCAAAACCCCAAAACCCCAAAACCCCAAAACCCCTTTCATAGTCATGAGTATTGAACTTATTGAGAATTTAGAGGTGAACTTCAGTCTCGAATGTACCCTTACCTCCGCCTGGTGGTGCCTTAACATCGCCAAGGGTAGCTTTCTGATCAATTGACTTGTCACCAAGGCTCATCTTCTGATCCTTGGACTTATCTCCAAGTCCTTTAGTGTTGGTGGGGCTGGCACCATTATCCTTTCTCTCAATGACTTCTTTCGAATTATTTATGCTCTTTTTCATTCGATTAACTCCTCCTGAGATTTTATTCTTAGCAGGTTTAGAGATAGATCTAGATTTATTCTGACTAGCTTTTCTCTTATTCTCAGCCTCTTTCTTTTCCTCCTCGAGCTTCACAGGCTTCAGCTTGGCTTGCTTGATGGTTCTTTGGTATTGCTTAATCTTCATAGTTGAAATTCTGTTTTCTTGCTCTTTTTCCCTAAGTTGTTTTTGGAGGTCTTCAAGTTCTTTCTCAAGCTTTTCAAGTTTCTTATCCATTTCTCTTTCTTCTTTCCTATTTTTGTTCTTTTTGAGCATCCTTTCTTGTTCTTCCTTCATTTTCTTGATCTCTTCCATTTTTGACTGGTTGCTACAATAAGTTATTAGAGATAATATTTCTTAGAAATTTTTTAAGATTTCAGAGGTTATACTTACTTTGCTTCAGAATCGGGTTCCTTCCACCCTTTCTCGCTCATTAGCTGTTTAACTTCCTCCTCAAGTTTAGTTTTCTCAGTTTTAAGTTTGTCTACCTTCTCTGATTGATCTTTGAAGGCTTTCTTTTCTCTTTCTATGTTAGTCTCAAGTTTAGTGTTCTTCTCTTTCCAGACTCTCAATTTTTCAGTTAGAGCATTAAGCTGAGTATGGTGGTCATCAGTGTTAGCAAGTTTTTCAAGCTCTTTACCTTGATCATGGATGTTTCTCTCCAGCTGCTTGATCTCCTTCTTAAGATTTGCTTTGATCTCAGTCTTAGCCTTAATCTCATCCTCAAGGTCGATAACTTTGTTAACTTCTGAGAGTTGTTCTACCTTAGCGGTGAGCCTGAGGATTTCCTTCTTATAGCTCTCTAACTGCTTTTGAGCATTTTCTATTTCCTTATCGCAGACGCTTATTTGCTTCTCAACTGGGACTTCCTTATGCTTCTTCTTAGCTAGTAGTTGCTTTGTATTGATTCTATCGAGGACTCTCTCAAGTCTGCCGTTGAGATCTTTGAGTTTGTTACGTAATTTCTCATTCAGTTTCTTGAGTTTAGAAACATATTGGTCTTTAGTTAAGGTACTCATATTTCAAATAAAATTATATTATGAGGGGTTTTGGGGTTTTGGGGTTTTGGGGTTTTGGGGTTTTGGGG